GTTCGTGCGATGTAAGTGCTTTCGAGTACTCTCCCATTTTAGAATACACATTACCAATGTTGTTGTAGGATTGAGCCAAGTCGGGATGATTCGGAGGGAGAGCTGTTTTTTGGATTTCAAGTGCTTGTTGGTACAATGTAAGTGCTTTCGAGTACTCGCCCATGTCATCATACGCCCAACCAAGTTTGTGATTGTAATCCGCTCGATCCGTATCGGAAGTTGCATTCGGACGTAGTAGGTTGTAAAGTATTTCCGCTTTTGCAGGCTCACCTAGTTTAAGAAATATGAAAGCTAGCTGTGACCATCCTGATCTTCTTGCTCTCAAGTGGACCTCTTCACGTATGGAAAGTGTGAGTTTGTTAAAATCATCATCTTGATTACCCGCAAGAGTAAGATTAACTTGCCACAGGCGATCATTATGTTTATCGTCAATTCGTTCGATCCGGTCAATTCGAAAAATTGTATGTGTTGTAAAAAGTATTTCTTCTTCTTGATCTTTGTAGTAACTAACTTGACTTACTTCAGCGAAAGGTGTTTGTGATTTTGTGCAAATATCTGTGTCAATATTCATAACAAAGAGAATACCAACTAAATCGGGATTTTTTGTAGCAGGCCGTGCGAAATTTTCCAAAGATATCTGTCGATTGCGACTTGTTGATAGAAAATTATTAAAGGACATAAGTCCTCCTTTGGTTTTTTTCATTTTTGCAAAATCTTCCAAGGACAAGCCTTGTCCTCGAAAGACTTGAAAGTGTTTTTGTGTGCCGTGTTCTTGTTCACGATTTAATTCTGCAATATGAAATTGTTCGAAAAATATATCATTGATTTGTTTTGTTGTTTTCGAAGGAATAGAAATTATTCTATGTGAAACTTAATATTCTATTGGTTTTTTAACAAGTAGAACAAATAATTAATTTCAATAGTAAAATGTATTTTATATTTGGAATTGGCGAATTCATGAAATCTATTTTCAATATTTAATTCTTCAACAATATTTCTATGAGCACATATCATTGTTAAATCACTAAGTTGTTCATCACTGTGACGAAAAATGATAATAGACGGGAAGATAGTGTATGTGGAGATATACTTTCTTCCATTTCTTCATATCATATTATCGTCATCTGATGATTAATGATAGAAGGATTGTTCGTGTTGATGATATTATACTTTAGTTTATTCCTTCATATCATACAATCGCATCGTTTACATATAAAGCACACGTTTATATACATGAGCAGAACAAGCGATAATGAAAAGACAGAAGATGAGGCCAAGGAGAGAACAACGTAAGAATAAAGAGGTAGTGAGGCCAAGGAGAGAACTCATATATAATATACGAGTGAATGATAATGTAGAATGAGAAAAAGGTTCAATCATGCATAGATGATCGTAGCCGTAACGCGATTATGAACACTACATGTCATTGATTGTATAGTAACACACTGAGAAAGAAAAGATATCACATAAGATAAGATGCCTATTGGCACAATCACCTACTTTATACTTTCATTGCAAATATAACAAAACTAATCTAAACGTGTGAAATACTCAATTTACTATTGTAGAATTGAAAATCGGAATGAGTTCCGTTTACTCGTATGGTTATATGATTATTTTCTTCTCAAAATTCATGATCACTACAGAAGATCTATGAAGACATCAGCAATATCTGTAGTGTTCTTTCAACAAAAATTTACTTTAACATTATTGAAATTTTTATTGTTGCAAATTAAGATCTCAAGTCAAATGTTTATTTTTTCATAGCTAACATTAGGATATTCAAACAAAAAAGTTATTCTAATGTTGATAAAGATTTTATTCAATTGTTTCTTTATCCAAAGCTGTTTTAAGATTGATAAGAACTATCTTTGTTATTTGAGGTGTAACTAAACATCTATTCCCCTCAAAACCCGTCCTGTACCTCGTCGTGGTGTGGGGGCGAACATCTAAGTATGGGACTGCTCGTTGAGGCTACGCCATCAGTGATGAAAGCTTTTGCTGAAGAATCATCTAGGGCGCTGCGCGAGGTGGACAGGCTCAAGGAGAACTCTGAAAACGATGGCCAACACAGGTGGTGACCGGGTGGCCGGTCTAGAGCGGATGCAAATATCTTCTTCGTAACGGTCAGCCACCTTACCTGCGTTCTCCCGGCAAGGAACCAGGAACATTCTTTGCCTACGTAATTCACTATGAGATAAAACCTAAATACTGTTACGACCAACGACGTAAACGGATCCCAACCATCTAGAGTGGGACCCGCGTCCGGCAGGGTCGGAAATAAGGCCGATTCGGTCGTCATCCGGTGAAAACCTTACAACTCACATTCACACTCATACAACCCTAATGCAAAACATTTTCCGGCCCAGAAACCATTTCGTGCTGGCACGTGGAACATAAGAACGCTCCTGAAAACAGGTGCAGCTACCATCCTCGTCTCCGAACTTGCGAAAGCTAAGATCAACATGATGGCTCTTCAAGAAATACGGTGGCCCGGTATCGGTGAAACAACAAGTGGCCCTTATACAATTTTATGGTCCAGTCCAACTGCTGGCATTCCACAGTCTGAAAAAGTTGCTCTCGCACTCGATCAGACCGCCGTCGCATCCATGATCTCATGGCATTCAATTAGTGAAAGACTTTTGATGGCCAGATTCAAACACAACTTCGGCTACCTCTCAGTAATAATAGCCTATGCCCTCACCAACGAGGCATGCGACAATGATAAAGATACCTTCTATCAACAAATTGAACAAGCAATGAAAATGACACATCAAAGCGACCTCATCATCTGTCTTGGTGTCTTCAACGCTGTCACTGGAACATCAAGACTCAATATGGACCACGTTATCGGCCCGTATGAGAGCGGTACTCCAAACGACAGCATGGAGAGACTGCTGAACTTCTGTTTGGGAGCCGGCTTAAGAATCGGTGGTTCATGCTTCAAGCGTAAGGATATACACAGGTATACGTGGTTCTCAAACAACCGGGTAACTGTAAAGGAAATCGACCACATTTTGGTCAACACTAAATGGTCTGCTCTGCAAAACTGTCGCGTCTATCGTAGTCTGGAATTCGACATAGACCATCGACCTGTAATCGCTACGATGTCGCTAAGGCTAAAACGCACAAGCGAGAAAAAACCACAAACATTATGCTATAACATGAAGATGTTGGAAGATCCAGTAGTGTAATTTCAATACGCAGTGGAAATAAGCAATCGCTTTGCTGCACTAGCAGTCGAAGAGATTTCCAACTGGGACAGATTCAAAGAAACATTAAACGATGTAGCAAACAAACACCTAGGTATTCGTAAACAAACGAAAAAGCCATGGGTCAGCGACACCACCCTCACATTAGTTGACAAAAAGAAGCAAGCAAGACTTCTCAACAAACATGATGAATACAAACCATTGAATAAACAATGCAAGGCAAATCTAAAACTGGACCGACAACGATGAGCTGACAGCTTGGCGAGAGGTGGAGAGGCGGCGCTCATCGCTGGTGAAGCGAGAGACGCTTTCGCTAACTTTTGATGCTTAGCTAAGGCCACCAGGCCCGTCTCTAGCCCAATCCTCGACGCAAGCGGCAATCTGATCAGCGACAAATCACACAAATTGGAATGCTGGCGCAACTATTACACAGGACTCTTCAACCGACCCAGCGCACCCGACTCCGAGGAACTGATTACTGCTGCCCAATCAGCTATCGAAGACCCAACCATCAATCTCAGCGAACCAACGGTGAAGGAAGTTATCAACTGTCTGAATAAAATGAAAAACGGCAAAACACCTGGAATATGCAACATCACCCCAGAGATGATGAAAGCTGGAGGCGCCGACTGCAGGATCTGGTTAACCAACATCTACCAGGATGTCTGGCGTTCTAGAGTCATACCATCGGACTGGAAGAAAGGCATTATTCTACCATTCTATAAACGGAAAGATAACAGACAGGAGTGCCAAAACTATAGAGGCATCACATTACTGTCCTGTCCCGGTAAACTGTTTGCGAGAATTCTGCTGTCAAGAGCCAAGAACTTGCTTTTGACCAAGCGCAGGAACGAACAAAGCGGCTACACCCCAGGCCGATCAACGGTGGACAGAATCTTCACACTTCTTACTCTGCGTCAAACACGGCGCGAATACAATCGCCCACTCTGGATCACCTACACTGACCTCAAAGCAGCGTTCGACTCGATCGATCGCAATGCACTCTGGCTTGCATTGACAAGTCTTGGCGTTCCCAAGAAAATTGTTGATCTTATAAGGGAACTATATTCTAACACATTCAGCTGTGTTCGCGTTGACGGCCAACTATCAGATTGGTTTGAAGTCAAGAGCGGCGTTCGGCAAGGGTGCACAATCGCACCAGATCTGTTTCTAGCACCAATGGACTGGCTGCTCCAAAGAGCGGTACACAGAGAGTTGCTCGGCGCTACACTGGGTAACGAAGTATTCACTGATTTGGACTTTGCGGACGATGTGGCTCTTCTAGCCGAGACTGCAGAAGTAATCCTGCTGGCATTGGAGGTCATGCAACAGGAAGCTCGCCCGTTTGGTTTGGAAATCAACTGGCCAAAAACGAAAATTCAAGAAACAAGAATTGAACCAACTAACAACAACACACTATCCATACTCGATCAAAATGTGGAAACGGTCGACCCATTCGTCTACCTCGGTTGCATAATTCACAAAACTGGCAGTAGCCTACCAGAAATCACCAGAAAGATTGCAATCGCTTGGAACTGCATGAAGACACTGGACAAACCTATATGGCGCTCAAGCATATCCCTACAGTCCAAAATTCTTCTTTACAACAGCTATATTCTGCCAGTCCCCCTGTACAGCACGGAAGTCTGGACGATAACTGACTCCGTCGAGAAAAAATTAGATGCTTTTGACAACTGGTGTCTCAGACGTATTCTCCACATACCGAACACGAAACACATCACGAACAGAGAAGTCCATGAACGTACCGGCCAACCGAAGGTCAGCGCTTCTATCAGAAGCAGAAGACTGTGACAATTTGGACATATAGCCAGGGTCAATCCCCTATTCGATCACACCAGAGCACTAAAAGTAGGCATCAATGAACTACCACGTGGATGGAAACGCCCTCGAGGCAGACCACGCCACATGTGGATCCGCTCCGTCGAAGATGACCTAAGGCCGTTGAATCTTGGTCTCTTCTTCGCCTGGAAAAGTGCTCAAGATAGGCAGAAATGGCATAGTCTCGTAGCGAAAGCAACGTCCAGTAGAATACGCTACAGATGATGAAACATCTATAGTATGTTGTTTTTTTGTTTGTTATATCAGAGAAAAAAGTAAATAATCATATAACTCATATTTGATTAGCATATGCGATAAGAAATATTTAAAACAAACGAATAAAAAAATCTTAGAAATTTTGTTTTCTTGGTTAGCTTATACCTAAATATTATATTATATTTATAAAATATCATTTGTGATGTTTTATTGCTTACGCACAAAACCAATATTCGCCTACAATGTTCAGAAATATTTTTTTTGTTCCGGTTTCCTTTTATGTAAGATGGAATTGCGCTAAGGTGATTATCATCTTGAAAAATTTTCATTCTTAATTACTTAGTAAATCCTATATTCTTTGAACATGATTACTGAAGATAGATGAAGAGTTTTATAGTGTATCAGTCAAAATGATATTGATAATCTAATGTCTTTACTTTTTTTCCAATAGGACCATATTTATTTTAATTTTCTGCAATGGTGACAACAATAAAAATATGAATGAGATGTTTTTTTCTATTGAGCAAATTGACAGCAGTTGCAAATCATTATAAAATTCATACTTAAAACAAATGTATTGTTCAAGAAAAAACAAATTTTGTGTATTTTTTTATAATAGTGCGCGGATGAGTAATATCTGAACAACTTCTATCGTTATGCAAGTGTCGAATGAAAAAACCCAGTTTCATAATGATATCGACATCCATAACGCGAAGTCCACGATTAAGTGTAGAATATATAAATGTTTCGGCTGTATACCACCATATTGGTGTATGTTTATGATATTCACGTTCAATTTGTTTGATTTGATCTTCAGGAATATCATCTTGTTCGCGGCAATACTCAGCCAAGTCTTTAATAGATGTTTTATCATCGTCTTCGATCTCTAGGAGTGCTTCTTTTAATAATTGTGTATACATAAAAAGAGGATCGAGATTATTAAAACTAATTGAAATCATGTTTCGATCACATCGTTGTCGATCGATTTCAAGTGCTTCACATATAGGTTTAATATCGGTGTAAACACCTTTGACTTTTGGTATAGATTTTGCCCATTCTTCATGATACGATTTATTTCCACAGAAAACATATATTAGTTCTATCTGTGGCATTGTTTGTAGTTCTGGTGCTACTTGTCGTCCTAATGCACTGGATACAATCATAAAGACCTTTTCTTTTTTAATATCATCCAAAAATTTGCAACATTCTTTACCATCCTTAAAAGTTGTAATGGATACTACAATATGTCGTAAATGTTTTAATGAATTTTTAAAATCTTCCTTTGTTTCATCAATATTTGCGTCCAGCCAGATTAAGAGAAAATTTTGTATAACCCGACGAACGGGTTGAGGAAGTGCAGCACTTTTACTCTCTGCTGCTGATGATGAGGATTTATCTGGCTTACTTGTTGTAGATGATGAGCCACTAGCCATGGATTTAGAATTTTTCTCGCCCATTTGTTTTTCAGTTTAAGGAAATGATTGAAAATTGGTATATAGTTGTTGCACAGTGTAAGAATCAACAAAACAAAAAATATTTTGTCTTTGTCTCTAGATATATTTCGACTTTTCTTCCTTTTTATGTTGACACGTTCGTTTTATTTCGATGGTTGTTATAAACTTCAAGGACTTCTTATCTCAATTATTCACTCTTTTATTTCAAAAGTTCTGCTGGCTAAATGTAATAGGTGAAGTCTGTGTACATACTTCAGTGATAAGATAAGGAAGAAGAACAAAAACGACACATGCAAAGAAGAATTGAATTAAAGTAATAGATAATAAAAAAGAAGAAAAAGAACTTCTAAGTAGGTTAAAACAGTTTCTTTTTGTTTTTTTTCTACTGTTTTTTTCTTTCGGTTACTTCGACTTCATCACAAAGGGTGATGGATGGCAGTGTATCATAAGTCAATGATGGCTGCTACTGTCACCAGTAGGATGTGAGTGTAGGTGGGTATCTGTATCTAGAGGTAACTTTTGTCTGCAACCACAACCATACTCGGTTTGATTTTAAAACTCCCATGTTTTTATAAGATCTATAATTTTATTTTAGGTAAACAATTTCGAACGATTGTAAAGGATTTCGTCCATTATTACTTCATAATGAAACTATACATGGTCTTGGTACATTTTCTTCTTTAACTATTTTAAGTGAATATTTTAAATTATTGTTATTATCATTTAATACACTATTATTATTGCAATCGACAGACATTTTTAATATGCTTGATTATATACAAAAAGCATTGTAATCATCAATATTAACACTATTTGGTCGAATAGGTCACACATTAGTTGCAAATCATTTATTTGTTGAATCAAGATATACTAATTGAGATAACGTATTAAAGCGAAATAAATTATTATTAACATCATTAAAAAGACTTCATACACGTGAAGGAATACATTAGAATGAAAGTGCTCTTCTATTGCTTTTATTGATTGAACAATATCTTACATTACTAATACATTTTTGTATTACATTTAGCTGAATTAATTATTTGTGTCCACATCATATTTAAGAAATGTTAACACTTTATGAACAATCTTTAAATAAACAATTAATACCTAAATAGATACTATTAATTTTACAAATATTATCCACCACAAAAAACAAATAATATACTCAGAAAGTTTCTTTACAAAAACTTAAAAATGTAATTTATAGAAGATTATTAATATTTATGATGTGCACAGTAGATTTTAGATTTAATTTACCGAAATAGATATGAATATTTGAATCCAATAAAAGAAAAAAAGATTTCCTTTTCTTTGACATAGTTTATGTGTTAGTAGTAGATGTGATTTTTAAATGATTCAAAATCTCGAAAAATATCTTGACATATAAACCTAGTCAGTCTCTTGTATACCTACATATACAGAAGAACGCGTTTTAATGACATAAATAGAAAACAAAAGAAGCAAAATTTTAAGTAGTACGAATTGTAAAGAAAACCATTTTAAGCGGCATTAATATAATGATTGAACTCATCGGTAAAATTCTGAGTCGTTGCATTTGTACTATTACAGAGAAAGAAAACGATGTCTTTCTAATATTATGAGAAAAAAATAATAATAAATAGCTTTCAAGATAATTATCTCCTAAAATGTTTTCTATTTGCAACTTAAAATATTTTTTAGACATCAGCAGTTTCAAGTTAATGACACGTTCTTCAAAACAAATAGTACCAATCGGTGGCTAAGGATACGACAGTGATGTTGATCTTATATTTAGTTTCACTTCTTCGATTGAAGGAGATCTATAAAGTCTCCCATATATTTAGATTCCTTAACTCTGAAAACATTCAATCTATAGCTTTAAAATCATCACTTTATCATACATGTATTAGATAATTACATTGCTATCAATTGTTTTTATAGAATTTTGTACGATTATCAATGTCTCATTGTCTTATTATTGGTATTAATAATTTATTTTGATATAATACAATGTCATGTTGAATTCACATGTCAATTTTCAACAGATGACATGAATGATTTTATTATATTTATATCGAAAATAGTTTATATAAATATATTTCAAAAACCAAAAATATTTCTTAATTGAAATTTAATTGAAGAGATTTTTTTATTATTTGACAAAAACCATATATAATCCGACATCAATTATATATCAATTGCTTCGCAAAACAGATCAAATAATATCATGTTGCATATTATCAAACAACTATTACTAATATTTAAATGTCTTTATCAATGACATAATGTTATCGTAAACAAATGAATAAATCAATTCTTGCTTGCCATTTAATGATCTTAACCATATTTATTATTTAACAAGAAAAATATTAAATACAAAACATATTTTTATCAATATGATTCATCTCGTACAGCTAAATGATTTCTGAGTTTGGAATACAGTTTCCAGAACTACGAGTTTCATTTTTAGCTTCAATAAATTCACTAAATCAATCCAATCATGAAAAGGTGCAAAAATACATTCAATATTAGATTAACATCAATTCAAAGTAACAATACATAACTATTGCCAGTTAATGTATGTTCATATATGTTTTAATTATTGAGAAGTAACACTTGTGTTTTAGATTGACATTGAACATTCAACGAAAGTATAAAAAAAAACAACTATTGAAAAAATTTTAAACTTTAAAATAATAGAGAAGTACTAGACTCGAGAAAAAAACAAATTCATTGCTAAATTATTCATTTCATCGAAGAGAAGAGTATCGAGTATTTCTCTGACTTTGATTTATTTAAAATATAATACATATAAAAGATTATATCAATAATTTCCATAAATTCCAATGAGTTATTGTATTTGGTTCATAAAGTCTAAAATATGAAAAATATTTTCTATTGATTAAAAAATTAGACTGGTTCTCACCATGTATGAACAATTATCAAATTTATGTGATGAATATTTTTGTACATTTAATGATGTAATTAATAAGTTATAGTATACATAAATCTGATATATTTCTTAAATAAACAACAAAAGAATACAATGAATTCTATATCAATGAACATCTTATAAGGGTGGGTGTGGGTGTAGTTCTTTCTCAGAACCACACCCCATACCACACCCACACCCACACCCACACCTCACACCCACACCCTACCGTACATATATCCCAATGAGTGTTCACGATTGGAATGCGACCTGTGGGTCAATCTGTTGCAATGCTGCCATTGTTTTTCTGTGATTTAGGTGAGTGAACTGTGATTTAAAAAAAAAACTAACAAATGATTGAGTATTTAGTGGTGATTCTCCTGTTTCCATTACTCGAATCAGTCCTTGGTAGTTATGTATTTCTTTTCTTTTGCTTTGTTTTTGTTGTCTAATATCATTTATATTTCTTTGGCGAAAGGTAAACCTCTTTTTTTTCTCATATCGAACAAATGAATCAGATTGATTTCTTTCAGATGCCTGAAACAGAAAACAAGAAACTGTCAGAACTCCAACCATTTTGGGAATAGATTATCTTCGTGGACATATTCTTGTCAAACCTAATTTCACATGCAAATCAAACATTTTGTCGCTTTCTAAAAATATTAATATGTTCTCGTAGTACAGAATATAGCTGATGTCAAAAGAAATATAAGTGTGGACTCGTTTAGTTACTAATACTTATTTGATAAAAGTGATGCTCAATGAAGGAAAGGAAAAAACACGACGCCTAACCACTTTTATGAGAAAGGCTACAAAATTCATTGCATGCATTTGTTCCTCTCATTTTTCCACAAATGCTTCAAATAGATTACGAACAGCAAAGTTACAGTGGCATCATAGCATTATTCATACATTTAATTTTTCGTATTCGAAATATTATATATTCGGAAGATTACCTAAATGAAGCGAACATAATAATTATGGTTATACACCACTCATGATTCAATTTTCTTATTGAGCAATGATAGGAAGTAAAGATTTTTGGTCAATTTCTTTGGGAAAAATAGACAATTTTCTAAAATTTCAAAAAAAAAAGAAAATATCATTTCGATCAGTGAAAACTCACTTATTAAGTAAGATTCCATAACTTTAGATTCGACTCGGATGATAGTTGTGGACTATGCGTGCTCATAGAAACATCTAATGAAAATTCACGCTGCACAATACTGATATTATTCGATATTTACGATATAAACGGTGCAACACGATTAATTGTTAGGCAAGTAGGCGCTTTAAGCACATAAGAAAATTAATGACTCTTCCACAACCACAATCAACAATACACAGACAATACTTGTTGAATAGAATATATGAAGAGCGTAGGTGTGTGTCTTCTTGTCTATCACAGGTACAGCCACAGTTATAGCTAGAACCACACCACACCCTAATTTTTTTTTTCGAAAGACAATATCAATGAACAGAAAGCTTACGACAACAAGCAATTAGTATTAGCATAAAAGCAACAAAGACAGCATGACTTAAGCTATTTGAATATTAATGCGAGACAGAGTCGAGATAGCTTAGTTATCATATGAAGTTTGATAATGTAAACAGTTATTCAAACAGTGCTTGATTGATCAAATGTAATTCGGTCGGTTTTTTTTAAAATTATGATTGAGCCGTAACTCGATGAGAATGAATATTATTTTTCATCAATCGATAAAATCTTATGACATGCCAGATAATGAATCGTAAACCAATTGTAAGACCACCATAAAGACCAAGTACTGATGTAGCTACATACAAGATATTATTTCGTGTAACATATTCAAAATTGCAATGACTTGGTGCACATGCAGCAAAATAATTTTCGTATGATATTTCATATGTCCAATCTTCGAGAAAATATTCGTCAATGAGCGTACCGATTGTTGTGTTCTTTGAAAAACGCGATGGTATTGAATCATTTAAAGGAGATATAGTCAAGGGTAGTACTGTGGGTGGAACGAAATCAATAGGTGGTGATCCATCCATTTGTATGTAGTATTCAAGATAAGTGAGAATGGTAGAGATGCAACTCGATGAGAAGAAACATTCAAGTGTAGACATGCGGAGTCCCTCCATAGGTAAACATCCCACAACAAGACCGGGTAAAAAGAGACCTGGTGGACCGATTCGTAATGGTTCTTGACATGTTGTCGAAATCATGCAATTGCATGTAGTATTGCTAAATACTCGAGGTATACTTCGAATGAGATAACCATCCGACTCATCACCATATTCCAACGACCAATCAGTATTGAAGGCTGTTGGCAAAAAGCTGAAGTGAAACATTTCAAGTAGAAAATATTGTGTCCGTCGAAATTCCTGTGGCAGTAGCCGACTCTGACTAGTGACAATATTGATGGGGTCTAGTGAACTTCGAGGTAATACAGTTGCGCTTGGCATCGATGCTTGATAGAATTTTCTTATCTGCAAATTGGTATACTTCATTATTTCTTCACACATCCATCTCAAAAGTTGAAAATGCCTACTGAGAATAGGTCGATCAAGTTGCGAATAGCTGTTTGCAAAAGGTCCATATCCATATAATAGGGTTGTCCATGTCGAATTAATAAATACACTCGAACAGATCTGAACAATAAATGACATAAAAATCTTAGAAATCAGTAACATATAGATAACATCAAATGTGCAACAGCACTCAGAGGTGTAAAAGCAAACTAAACTTAATATTATATTGTTTAATCAGAGATCTTCCTATCTTCAATGAGTAATATTAGGCGTTTCTATCAACTGACAATCAAGACCACTCTGCGTTTGAAAACTATACAAACTATAAGTATATTCTTCTCATTTTTTGTATATAAATAATCAGACTCGCTCCATTTAGTAGCATTCAGAAAATGTTTTCATCTTCTTCCCAAAACTATCACTACACCAAAAGGAAAGGAGCGAAAATGCCGTAGTTCCACGTACTTCCTGTACTTTCCGACTATGTCGTAACTGTGCATCAGATCTCTTTAGCTATTTGATGTCTACTATTGACCTGTATTACGATATATTAGCCGAAGTCCAGCCTGCATAAGTCTATCTGACACAAAAGTCTAAATACTTCATGGTATTTCCAAGTTGGAAGTACCATGTAGTATTTAGGCTTTAGGATCTGATTGACTTAAGTAAGCTGGACTCCGATTAATACACCATAGTGCAGGTCAATAGTAGACTTCAAATAGCTAATGAGACCTGATGCACAGTTACAACATAGTCGGGAAGTACAGAAAGTATGTGGAAGTACGGCATTTATGCTCCTTCCCCCTTGCACTACGCTCTACTCGTTCTTCCGCTCCCTTGTTCTCCATACTTCAAGAAAACTTCATTCCCGTATGACGAACTATCCTTTACTGATGCAGAAAGAAATGATCCTCACATATGAATATGAATCTCATTGATTCGCATACATTACCTGATGAAATTTGAGTTTGACCGAAATAAGATTTCCGTATGATACACTAGGTTTTTGGCAATAACATGAGAGTGTGTCTGGAT